CTTGATAGATTGACGCGTTGATAGATTGACATCTTGATGGATTAATGTCTTGATAGATTGCTGCCTTGATAACTTCATAGCGTGATACTTTGATAGCTTGATGCCCTCATAGCTTGATAGCTTGCTAGCTTGCTAGCTTGATATCTTGATACCTTGATACCTTGATAGCTTCATAGCTTGATACCTTGATAGTTTGATACCCTAATAGCTTGATACCTTTATAGCTTCATAGCTTGATACATTGGTACCTTGATAGATTGATACCTTGATACCTTCGTAGCTTGATAGATTGATAGCTTGATAACTTAATAGCTTGATAATTTGATACCTTGATAGATTGGTACCTTTATAGCTTGATACCTTGATAGCCTAATAGCTTGATAGCCTAATAACTTGATAGCCTAATAGCTTGATAACCTAATAGCTTGATAGCCTAATAGCTTGATAGCTTAGTAGCTTGATAGCGTGGTAGCTTGATAGCTTGATTGCTTGATAGCTTGATAATGTTGTAGCTTGATAACTTTGCAAGTTCATAGCTTGTTATCTTGATAACTTATAAACTTGACATCTTGATATCTTGATAGCTGATAACTTAGCTTGGTAGCCTGGTTGATTAACAGCATAATACAAAATTAGATTAGTAATTTACTAACAGGCTGATAGAAAAATTTGACATCTTGCTAATTTAGCAATTTGCTACTTATTTTGACAATTCCGAAATCTAATGAAACTTCGAAGAAGCAACTAGAAAATTGTAGAATATATGCAATTCTGAATGGACCTTTACTAACCTGAAATTTACGAGTCTAGCAATGTAGCAGCTCTCAGACACAGGAATTCAAGAACCTACAGAATCGAAAAGCTGCAGAAACAGCGGATTCCGTCGACCAGCAACCAGACACGCATGGTAGAACCGATCGGTCGTTATCGGCTCGCACGTAGCACGTTTCAAAATTACATGTTCTATTTTTCGTACCGCCCGATTCAATTTACTCGGCAATTCTTGGTGAAACGTTTAACTTCATCCAAGCAGCAGAGAGACAGCTGAAAGCCTCCTAGAAACCGCGTTGTACATTCGTGTTAGGAGAGGAGCAGCACGTTTCTAAATCAACGTGAATAACGATTTCAATTACCTACATCGCCTTACCCCGTGTACTCGCGTGTACTCGCTTGGTTCACGGAAGCAAGTTTCGTATGTTGGCTGAGCCTTATTACTCTCGTTACAAGCACCAACATCGATTGAAGGCCGTGGGATTGGGCCAGTTCGTAACACATCCGACCTTGCATACTTTCCACACTAATTACACCACTATCCTACATCCGATGGGAGGTTTTTCACCAAATTTTGCCTTTTCCGGCTTACTCGACGTTGGTCGGTTCGATTTCGATTTAATTAGTTTAATGGGTGTGTTTATTTTCGGTTTAGGTATTTGAATTGTAAATTCACCAAATCTCAAATTTCCTACATCTGTGAGTCTCGCAATCCTAAAGTCTCAAAATCTTTTCGGGTTAGATACTTGAATTGTAAATTCACCAAAATTCAAATTTCCTAAATCTATGAGTCTCGCAATCCCAAAGTTTCAAAATCTTTTATTCGTCAAATCTCAAAGTACTCAAAGTTGCCAAATAATAAATTCTCCAAATCCCAAACTTGCCGAAACCTGAAAGTCCCAAAATCTCAACGTCCCCAAATTCTTAAGTTTTCAAATCCCAAAGTTCCCCAATTTTAAACTCATCGATTACCAAAGTCCCCAAATTCTAAATTTCCCGAATCCGAAAATTGCCAAAATGTCAAAGTTTTCAAATTCCAAAGTACCCAAATTCTTAACCCATCCACAAATTTTCAGATATTTAAAAATGTCTGAACATCCCTATTCTGTTTTTCTTTGGAGACAACATCTGCTCTCGATTGTACACTGCACTTTTCGCTAGAGTCAAGAATCTAGAGTAATTGGCCACACCGGGGCAAGGAGAACAAGTTTTTTTATCTATCGGGAGATACCTATTGCCGGTGGACGTTGGCAGTAACAGCGACACACAGATGTTGGGATTGCCAAAGTCACTTATTCTCTTATTCTCTTCATGACTGTTAAAAGATAATTCTTTTAATACATTTATTTTATAATTTGTAGAAATATGTTGAAATGTGTTGAAGTATATATGAAATACACATAGGCTAACTTCGAATCCATAAGTCACCTCATTCTAACAGTTCCGCAAACTTTTATTTAAAAAAATTATTTAACAGAAAATATACTGAAATATACAAAATTTTGAAGTCTATAGAAATACTAGAAAAATGTGCAGAAAATAAATTGAGGAATGTGTGCTCGATGAAATGAAAATGTGTCAAGTTACTTCATCGTAGAACAATACGAAAGACTATTAATAGTAAGACAAGAAATGATAGAGAAATTAGAATAGCGATAGTAGTTGCAAAAGTGAAAGAGAAGTATATATTTTATAGAATTTTTGTTGAGATGGATGCAAACCATAAATCACGGTGTCTTTGTTACGAGGATTGAAATAAGTTCAGAAATATTCGTGCCCTCGCTATGAAGCTCTGTGAGAAAGTCACCGAGAGGTTGTGCCCGTTTAAGTTGACCTAATCCCACGGTCCAGATTCCATATTAATATTTGCAACGAGATTAATAAGCGTCCAACGATAAGTGTGCGAATTATTCAGATGGTTATCGCTGGGTAATACTTGTACGTTTCATGCTTTTCCGCGGTATGTATGATGGTGAAGCTATTGGAGTATAGGGAAATGTGTCAGAATATGTGTATGAACCATATGCACACATATGTAAAAGAATATATACAAATATATGTAGAAAAATATATGCTAATTATATATGACAAAATATGTATAAATATATGTATACATATGCTTTGTGGGTACAGGAATGTATGCACAAATACATACAACACATATGTACAACACATTTGCAGTAACATATGCGTACACATATGTGCAACATAAAGGCAACAACATATGTATGTGTACACATATGTGCAACACATATGCAACAACCTATGTATGTGTACACATATGTACAACACAT